GATATTGCAGGGAATTGGGAGCCTGAGCTCCATTCCCCAGCGGCAGGCTGAGTTACAGGGGACAGAGATAGTCGCTCCTGTCCCCCAGCAGCAGAATGATGCTTTGGGAATTGGGAGCCCAGTCTCCATTCCCCAGCGGCAGTATGATGCTTTGGGAATTGGGAGCCCAGTCTCCATTCCCCAGCGGCAGTATGATGCTTTGGGAATTGGGAGCCCAGTCTCCATTCCCCAGCGGCAGCACAGATCATTGGGAATTGGGAGCCCCGTCTCCATTCCCCAGCGGCAGAGTGTCCTACCGGGAATAGAGAGCCCAGTCTCCTTCCCCCAGCAGCAGGACTCTGTATTGGGAGCAGAGACAGTCGGTCTCCCTCCCCCACAGCTGGAAGTTTGTATGGGAGAGGAGCTTGTTACCCCCTCTCCCCAGCTGCAGCTTAATGTACAAAGGGGAGACAGTAAGCCCCACAACCGTGCAGATGGGACCGTAGTCTCTACACTGCCAGCACAGGGGGTAGGGACGGTCGGTCCTGCCCCCCAGCGACAGGGCTGTTTAGCCAAAGGGGCGACAATCAGTCTCCCCCTCCAGCAGCAGAGATGGGTAACCAAAGGGGAGACGGTCGGTCTCCAGCAGCAGGACTGTGCAGCTAAAGGGGAGACGGTCGGTCTCCAGCAGCAGGACTGTGCATCTAAAGGGGAGACAGTCAGTCTCCAGCAGCAGCAGCAGAGCGGTGTATTTAAAGGGGAGACAGTCGGTCTCCCCCTCCAACAACCAGGCTTCCACCAGGCTACCCTCCCAGTAGCGTTGGCAACAGGGCAGAGTGCCGCTGGTCTCTGCCCACGCAGCAACCCACCAAGTCAGCGTACCCGTACCCAGCACAGCCGTGGTGAGGCACCTGGACATGGACAAGCTTCTCCTTTACCCAGGTGTAGTAACCATTTATTGTGGGTGGGCTGTGCTGCTGATTATTTGTTGTGGGTGGGCTGCTGGACTAACAAGGGCACTGACCCGCAGGAGGTCAGATACCCTGTTAGTCTGTTTGGAAAAGGGGAGAGATGTGACGAGACCAATCTCGCCACATTGCATTGGAGAAGCCTGGTTGCTCGCCTGCTGCCTTTGGACTATGGCCCCCTTTTAAAAGACTTTATTTTTCCATGCAGAAAAGCCATATTCATGCTTTTCTGCCGGTTGTTCGGTAGTTTCAATCTACCGAACAACCGTACGAATGACTGGACCACCTGGGAGCTGGAGTGTGCCGGCAATTAACCTCCCTGAAGCTGCGGTTAACCGCAGCTTAATTGATGAACGCTGGGTGGCCGCCGTTCGTATCCCGAACACGAGGTCGCGGCCATTTTAAACCATACGAATGAACAGCGGTGTTCGCCTCTATTTTCATGGAACTAAAATCGGACACAGTTTTGCGCGAACACCGCTGAAGCCGCCGACCTCCCTTCTTGTTCGGTGAAAGCACACGAATGACCCGGTGTTCGGTATTTTTGTGTGAATGTCTTATACCCCAGATAGGAATCCCATGGAGCCCATTCGTATGAAACTGACTGTAAAGACTTTGGCTCCATGGCGATTGAACTGTATTCGTGTAGTCTGAGTGCCATTCACCTAATAATGTGCACTCAGACCTGAGCTATCTGGGGATGTGTTACATGCCTGTGTTTAATGTAGTAAATGTTACTTTGTGCATTTTAAAGTATAATGCTGTTTTGTGTTCCCACGTGTGTAATGGAGTTTTGCCTTTGTCTTGGGAGATAATTGAGTTACTTCCCAATTATCTCCCAGGGCAGAGGGGAGGAAGCCAGGATGCATTGTGGGAATATACTGTGACTGTGTGTCCTTTTGTATACTTGTCTGTCCCTTGTCACAGTCTCCCATTTGGTCCCCTAGGGGAGTGTCCACCAGGTGGGAGACCTGCATAAAAGCTGGGCAGGTAGCCCTCATTAAACAGACCACTGCTTGACCCTCAACACGGAGCCTTGTCTCGTCTTTGGGGGGATTTACTGTATGCTGCTAAGGACTGATTGCCAGGAGTGTAAGCCGCTTGGAAGCTTTTCCTGTTCGCCTGCTAGCAGCTATTCGTATGGTTCCTGTTCGTTTATTTGAAGTGCTACCTTATTCCCTTGTATGCCGTTTGGGAGTTTGGAGCATTCACTTATTGGCGGTTCGTAAGTTTTGGTGATTATTCAGTAGCTGTGCCTGTCTCTGAAAGGGGGATTATCGTCTAAGCGGTTTTTTCCCCTTTTGTGCAAAACGGTCCGTTACAGAGAGTTTACGACCGTGGGACAAAAGATTATCTAGTCCATTGTCATGTTTCAAAACCAGAGAGCGGGCGTAGCTAGACGGGAGGCAATCAGCAGAAATATGTGAAATTCCTGAAAACTAAATCGAGACAGGTGATCAGCAGCAATATTTTGAATTCCAGGAAAATGAACACATGTTAAAAAGAACTGATTATTAGCAGCCAACCATGTCAATTTCCTAAGGAATTGCATTATGGTCAGCTAAGATGAGCGTCCCTTGTTTATAATGTGGCATATATAGAAAAAATACAAAATATCTTTCACTATATCACAGTGAATTACAATATGTTAATTAAAGTGCCTGTGCCTTTAACCCCTTAAGGACACTTGACATGTGTGACATGTCATAATTCCCTTTTATTCCAGAAGTTTGGTCCTTAAGGGGTTAATTAGACAAACAAGTGCTTTTAGTGAATTGAAAGAGCATATCATGCTAAATTAATACTTGACTTCCCTTCTAGTTTAGGATTAACCTGAAGATCTCCTCAAATCTTCAGCCAATGTACACAAAGTATATGGGTGAGTCCAGCTAGGGGAGACAGAAATACAATAGTGCAACACTGTGAAACCCAATAGGAAAATATATAGTGTGCCAATGAGTCACTCACACTTTGTAGTCAAAGTTTAAGCATTCAGAAATCTCATAGATGTATGTCTTCTTGATTGTCAACATTATGGGTCTCAGTTGTATATAAAAAAATAAAATGTAACCAGGTAAGATAGCTGTAGACGAATGTGTAGTATACAAGATTTATTTACTTACACAGAAGTTAAAAACAGCTGGCATCAGGAGCATTCAGTTAAGGCAAGGAATTACCCGGTTTGGAGAGGGGAAGACTTGTCAGGTCAGTGTTGGTTGGCCAAGTATGTGATATGGCCCTGTTGCCAGACTCCAGGCATACCAGTCTGTTGTCCCATGGAGGACAAGACCGATGCCATCATGGCATGGAGGTCTGAAAAGTGGACACCACTGGACCCTTCCCCAGCGTCGGTGTTATCAGTAGTAGTGTTCAAAAGTTTATATAGTGCTGCCTTCCTGGCAGAACAATATAGTAAAATATATTTCTCCTGCGAAGCTCGGCTGTAATCTGTGGAATAGTCCAATATCTAATAGATGTGGGACTAGCTGTGTCCAACCTACAGGTAGGGTTGCTGGACCTCGCTGGCATGCTGGGGAATGATAACTCTTCACCACCTTCAGTTATTTGAGACATGCTAAAATGTAAAGTAAGAATGAATGTACTGATAGATAAACCCATAATGTACTAGCAAGCTAACTAATGCCAAGTGGCAAAACATTTGCCAATGATGGTGACAAGTAAAGCCCTGCTAGTTGCCAAGAGGGGTGAGAGACTCTATCTGTGTGTTTGCCCAAGGGGATTTGATGGTCACCGAATGTTGTGGTAGAGTGTTAGCCTCTCTGTGAATTTTAAAGCATAAGGCAGAATGGGATGATGCCCTCTCAATACCACCATGTGAGGCGAATAACCATGAGTTGGGCAGTTGTGCCAATGGGCAAAATACCTCTGAGTATGAGGATGGGTGTTTGCCTTGCAGGACCACTAACTTAAGGCATAAAGGCCTGATAAATTATTACCTAATGGAATCCTAATTCCCTGGAGGCCAGTAACCAAACTAACAAAGAACGGAACATATAGTAGAGTAGTCATAGTATATTGAAATTGACATACCTGGATACTAAGAATGCAGCTTCACAATGGATGCTGTCCAGGAGGTGGGAGGGTCTGGGAGGGAGGGTCTGCTGCTGATTGGCTGGAATGTGTCTGCTGACTGTGAGGTACAGGGTCAAAGTTTACTCAATGATGAGTCCGCGGCGAACAGTTCTGGACATCACTAAACATGTGTACAGCTGTTAGTGCTATTTAAATTAAATTATTACTACACTTATGGTAACTCCCTTCTACTGAAATGTAACCTGTAAAGTGTTATGTGTATCTGTTATTGCTGCACGAATAACATATTTATGCACTGTAAAGTTACTGTACTTACTAAGCCTCCCTTCTATTGTAACATGAATTATACTTATACAGTGTATGTATATTTTATTTATGAAATGCTAACATTACCACTTCATAAATAAAATATACATGCACTGTATAACTACTGGACTAACTCTACCTCCCCCTACTATAATAAATTGCTAAGTACAACTTGTAATGTTAAATAAAAACATCACATGTCTATGTACACTAATTTCACACTCCTATCAAACTCAATGGCAGAACTAAGTTTGTTTGTTATTAACCATGACATACAGTTGTAATCAAAATTATTCACTCCCCCCAATGAAAATCAGTTTTATTGTCAAGCTTTATAGACTTTCAGCTGTTTGCAATGAACATCTCAAACAAAAGCAATTGAAATAGCTCAACACAATGAATGCTACAAGTGGTTTCCACAAATTCATCTGTAAATGCAACTTACAATCACTTCTCCAGACTCAAATGTATTCAAACGCTTCATAGCAAGCATCTTTAGTACTTAGTAGAGCACTCATTTGCTGTTATGACTTGATGTAAATGGGATGCATAGCCAGACACCAGCTTCTGGTAGTGTTCCTGAGGAATCTTAGCCCATTGCTCATGATCAATGGCCTCTAGTGATGTCGCGAACAGTCCGCGAACTTGCCGCGAGCGGTTCTCCACGAACCGTTTGCGGCGAACTCTGGTCAGCTGACGCATCGCTGCCAATCTCCAGCAGACCCTCCCTCCCAGACCCTCCTACTTCCTGGACAGCATCCATGTTGAAGGCAGCTTCAACATGGATGCTGTCCAGGAGGTGGGAGGGTCTGGGAGGGAGGGTCTGCCGGAGATTGGCAGGGATGTGTCAGCTGACCGGAGTTTGCCGTGAACGGTTCGTGGCGAACTGTGGCGAACCATTCGCGGCAAGTTCGCGAACGGTTCGCGACATCACTAATGGCCTCCAGTTCAGTAATATTCCTGGGTTTGCGTGTTGAAACTACCTTATACAAATCAGATGACTGTGATGGCCACAGTAGAATTTTTCTGGACTTCTTCTGCAACAAAGCCTTGATGGAATTTAAGGTATGCTTGAGATCATTGTCTTATTGGAAGGTCCAATGATGCCCAAGTTTCAGCTTCCTCAAAGACGGAATGGCGTTTTCTCCTAGGATTGTCGGATACTTCAATTAATCCATCTTGCTCTCCACATGTTGCAGGTTTGAGGCTCCTAATTCTTGCAGGTGGTATAGCTGTCCATTCATCCTGGCAAAATGCCTCCAGGTCATGCAAAGTCTTTGGTCGTCTTGTATGAACCGCACGTTTGAGATCTCCCCAGAGTGGCTTGATGATATTAAGGTCAGGAGACTGTGATGGCCACTACAGAATCTTTAATTTTTTTCTGCTGTAAGCACTGGAGGGTCAACTTGGCCTTGTGCTTAGGATCATTGTCATGCTGTAAAGTCCAAGAGCGTCCCATGTGCAGTCTTCATGCAGAAAAATGCAAATTGTCTGCCAGTATTTTCTGATAACATGCTGCATTCATCTTGCCATCAATTTACACAAGAGTTCACCTTTAGAGCTCACACACACCCAAAATATCAGTAAGCCACCACCATGCTTCACAGTGGGGATGGTATTTTTTTCATCATAGGCCTTGTTGACCCCTCTCCAAATATAGCGCTTATGGTTGTGACCATTAAGCTCTATTTTAGTCTCGTCACTCCAAATTACAGTGTGCCAGAAGCTGTGAGGCGTGTCAAGGTGTTGTCAGGCATATTGTAACCAGGCTTTTTGTGGCATTGGCACAGTATAGGTTTCTTTCTGGAAACTCGGCCATGCAGCTTATTTTTGTTCAAGTATCGTCGTATTATCTTCTTGGAAAAAAACACACCATGTTTTTCCAGAGCAGCCTATATTTCTCCTCAGGTTACCTGCGGGTTTTTCTTTGTATCCCGAACAATTCTTTTGGCAGTTGTGGCTGAAATCTTTCTTTAACTACTTGACCTTGCCATCAAGAGATCCGTGAATGTTTCCACTTCTTAGTAAGTGATTGAACACTACTGATAGGCATTTTCAAGGCTTTCGATAAGTTTTTATATCCTTTTCCATTTTTATAAACTTCCATTATCTTGTTACGCAGGTCTTTTGACAGTATTTTTCTGCTCCGCATGGCTCAGTAAATAGGCTGTTCAGTGCATCCACGAGCTAACAAATTCATTCACTATTTATACACAGACACTACTTGCAATTTTAAAATACCACAGGTGTGGGAAATTAATCTTTAATTGCCATTTTAACATGTGTGTGTCACCTAGTGTGTCTGTAACAAGGCCACAAATTTAAGGGTATGTACATTTTTGATCAGGGCTATTTTTTAAAGGAGCCAAACAACTATGTGATAAAAGAATTTTTTTTTGCATGATCGCTCATATTTTCAAAATCAATGCCAACATTTCACAATTTCTGTCAGGGTATGCAAACTTTTGATCACAACTGTACATTATACTATGTAGAAGACTATAATGTGAGAATTATTTCACGAATATTATGATGTAAGATCCTATATTGGGATTTTATTAATGCCAGGGAGTCCAAAAAACAATGGAATTTTGGTGCCTAAAACAGTAGCAGATTTTTATTTGCCATAGTGAAGATCTAAGAAACTAATGGGGTAATGTACTTCCACGATTTAACTGTTAAATGTTTAAATTTTTTTACCTAATGTCTGCCAGGTGCCAATCCTCCGCTACAGTAACAGAATAGCTAAAAGCTCTCTGTTTGAGCAAAGCCAGCCAGTGCAGGGCTTAACTGATTGGCTGAAAGTGATCAGCTGATGCTCACAGCTAATGAGCTATACCTTTATTACATGGCTTTGCTTGGGAGAGGTAATTAAAGCTCCTATGCAGGAGCTTCCAGCTCTCCTGTACCTATAGTGGAAGTGGTAAGCGGTGCCTGGTGGACCCCAGGTGAGACCATCCCAAAGCAGTTAAACTACTACGATGGGGAAGGCATCAGGGCCCTTCTCACACCATAAACACTACAGAAAGTTGTAGTAGTTATGGTGCTCGGAGTAATAATTTAAATAAACTGGAAAACATTAAAGTTTTATTTCTGGGGAGATCTGGAAGTTGTACAAGTGAAATAGGGTTGTGTATATTTGGTGACTGCATATGTGGAATTTAAACTGTTGTATGTACGGTACGTACAGAGATATATACATACATATATGCATACAATTTTAGACATTTGTTTGATGTTTTTAAGATGTGATGAGGGAGATGATACAACTACAAAAAGATAATTCCTGCGCTCACTCCCATCACTCCTCGGTGGCAGCAATGACCACAGTACACAACAGCCACAATTCATATAGTAAAAAGCAAAAAGGTTTTTCTTTTGATTTTACTATATAAATTGGGGTTGATGTGTACTGTGGTCATTGCTGCCGCCCAGGAGTGATGGAAGTGAGCACAGGACTTATATTTTTGTATTTGTATTCACTTTTTGTATCACACAGTTTTGTTACAATACTGCTGCCCATCCCATGTGTTTCCTATAAAGGGTTAATAAGTATATAGGGGTGTATATAAAAAATACCCCTTTGTGTCTCATTAGAGATATCTTTGCCAGAAGTTCAAGGAAGCAAGTTGAAGGGTCAGTGTAGGACCCACTTAGGGGGGTCTGCCTTGACGTTGGCAGACGGGCATTCCCTCCAATGGCCCTTGGAGTTACTAAATGACCTCCATTTGTCTAAATATACATAGGGATTAAGGAGAGAGCGCAGGTAACCTTTTTTTCTATAAGGGAGATGATGGCCCAAAGGTGAGTAGTGGAGACGGTATCACAGGAGAGTAGGCAGGTGAGTGGTTTATACTGGGATGATTAAGGGGCAGATGTTGAGGCTGGGGTGATGAGGGTGTAGGTGTTGACAATAAAGTGATTAAGGAAAGTAGTCTTGCCAATAAATGAATATGTTGCACAAGTATTCTATCTCAAGTGGAACCAAAGTGGTAATAAGGTGACACTTGCAGGATTAAGGGATGGAGTATAGACAATGGCCAAGTGTGGGACCTTGGAGGGAGTTTCTCAAATTTTACTTTGTGCATAAGCATATGTATTTTTTGAAGTCAGCAATGTTTCTGCAGCTGTCTGTTATTCTTCAGGAGTTTGTCTTAATATTTGTTTAATGAGCCCACAGTGAAAAACAATTGTTCTAAAGAACTGCATTAAAACTTTTAAAAAACTACCAAGGGTGTATCAGGACATTCATCTGCTATTTGCATTTCATATACTCTTAAATAAGTTGGAAATGTATTACCGGCAGAGCAGATATTAACAGACGCTCACTTGCATTTGTCAGAAGGTGTTAGCATATTGTAAAATGTTCCAAGTTTAAAAAGAATTTTATTCTAACAGACAACAAACTGCTTCTCAAATGGAAGATCACAAGAACAGAAATGCAAAGAGGCTTGGGTAAAATAGAAAGAAAGGCTAATATTGATAAGAAATATATAATATGAAATAAGAGTTTTTACAACATGTATTATGATTATTAATGTACTTATTTACTTTTGCTATATTGTCACATCACATCATCACAATTCAAGAGCAAGGGACAGGATTATATTCAAGGGACAGCAATAAACACACTCATGTATGAGTGTGTGACAATATAGCAACTAACTATTCACATTATTTCTAAATGATCTGCCTGTCTGCAAATTCTCAAATGTACACATGTACGCAGACAACCCAGTAATCTATGCAAGCAAATCCGATCTTCCGCAGCTTGAGGCCGTGCTCCAAAACCAATTCACAGAGGTAGAAAAGTGGATCGCAAAAAACAAACTATTCCTAAACACTGACAAAACTGTCACAATGCTCTTTTGAACAGTACCTAAATTGCACACGTTACAAAATCCCCATCTATGCATCAAGTCAAAAATCAAATAAAACACTGACCGCAGTCCACTCTTTCAAATACTTGGGTATGATGTAAGACCCCAATCTATCTTTTGGCCTCCACATAGAAAAACTTGCATCAAAACTTTATCCATAACTAGGTGGCCTGTACAGAAACAAATCCTGCCTAAGCCCTACAGTAAAGGAAAAGATTGAACAACAAATGCTGATGCCAATTATTGATTATGGGGATGTAGTATATGCACCTGCACCGCACACTCACCTTAAGCTTAATACATTATATAACTTGTTCTGCCACTTTGCTACAATGTAATTACATGACCCACCATTGTGACATGCTAAAATAAATAAACTGGCTGTCACTGGAATTCAGACGCAGCCTTCATCTCTCCAGCCTTGTGTTTAAGAGCTTTTCTGGGAAACTCCCACCCTACCTGAGCAGAATGCTCTCCTCGGCTGTTCCCACCTCCTATAACCTCAGCTCCAGTACCAGCACTTTATTTAGTCTACCTCAATACAAAATGAAAGTGGCTCGATCCTTTTTTTCCTACAGAGCACCGCAATTATGGAACGACCTCCCGCACACTTTTAAATCTTCCCTAAGCCTAAAATCTTTTAAATGATACATATCTCAAAACAGAATGCACTTGTCATGGTTGATTATTTGTTTCTTACCTGTTCTATGTTAAATTTTGTGTAGATTGTGTAGGTATGTGACATACTTTAAATCTCAATGTATCCTTCCTGGTAAAATGTTATAAATAGTGATGTCCCGAACGGTTCGCCCCGGACGGCGAACATATGCGCTGTTCGGTCCACCCCCTATTCGTCATCATTGAGTAAACTTTGACCCTGTACCTCACAGTCAGCAGACACATTCCAGCCAATCAGCAGAAGACCCTCCCTCCCAGACTCTCCCACCTCCTGGACAGCATCCATTTTACATTCATTGTGAAGCTGCATTCTTAGTGAGCTGTCCAGGAGGTGGGAGGGTCTGGGAGGGAGGGTCTGCTGCTGATTGGCTGGAATGTGTCTCCTGACTGTGAGGTACAGGGTCAAAGTTTACTCAATGATGACAAATAGGGGGCGGACCGAACAGCGCATATGTTCGCCGTCCGCGGCGAACCGTTCGGCGAACTGTTCGGGACATCACTAGTTATAAATAAATAAATGTATTCTTGTCTTGATAATATATAATCCAATGTTGATTGTTTTACAGGCATTTCATATATGAACCCCTTCAGTAGATGGCGTTACGTAACAACAATTATATCACAAATGGTTACAGGATGCCACCAGTTATGAAGGAGTTTACACTGTTCTGCTTACATATAATCTTTTGCATTTCACAATGACCTTTTTGTGTACCTCTCTGTATTGCTATTTGTATTCCTATTATTAAAAGGTACTTCATTCTATGAAATTATTTCCTCAACATTTTGTCCATTACTATAATTTATCTCATGATGATTTAGTTGTTATAATGTGTTTTTAATGTACTTAGTTTATGTCAGATGTTTCTCAGACTGTCCTATTTATCTGCAAGTTAGTTATTTTGGCTTCAGTGCCATGAAGCTACCAACAGTTCACCCAAAAAAAGTATGTAATGGATATATGATAAATATTTATATATGCAAGTTTATATGCAAATTATTCAAGCTGGGGATATAGCTGTGATGAAGAATGTTATCACTTTGTGTGTTTTGGCTTTACATTTAACATTTTAAAACTCCCTTGTTTATTCACCAGAATTGTACCAACACTCTTTAATCTCCCTATACCTTTAAAGTGAAATCACCCTCTTAAATATATTGTGTAAATGCAATCATGGTGGTTAATAGCATTAGATTTATTGATCTTGAGAAAGGAACGGGTTAAATAAGATGGAAAATTATCTGAAAATGCAGAAAGAAAATGTAGGGATAAGGCACGCAACACTGCAGATTGGTTTATTGCAGAGAGATTCCAGGCACCTACGGGCCTCGCATTTTGGTTTAGCTGCAGTCATCGCCTGAAGATTTGTGAAGATATCCAAACATAAGAAAAGGTCAGAAAATGTTAAACAAAAAGACAGAAGAAGTGAGTACGTCAACCGTTAATTTGACATTTACTGTGCAGTGCAATGAGGCTGCGGATTTCAGTAAAACCTCTCTGAAACACATTTTGAAAATGCACACATTTTATTTTTAATAAACGATTATATAGAAAGCTCAGTGTTTGCTGGATAACTGTCAACACATTATGGATAATTGGGGTTAAAATATGGCCATTTACTAGATGCATTTTAACTTTTTATCAAGGGTATAAGGATAATGGAAATATTAAATGCTTGCCAAGGTCATAAGCATTTTGCATGTAAACTAAGGATTTATTATCACCATTGATAGCATTGATCAAGAAATACTGTAGATTAAATATATTAAGAAAAATATTAAAACGTTGAGATTTTAAATGTTTTCCTCTTAATATAGATACGTCCAAGTTAACCCCTTAAGGACAGAGGCACTTGTACAAGTTCTGATCAAAACAAAATCTGATATTTGAGCTATATGTCTGTTCAACCATAATTAACCTATTTCATATTAAGTGTACCCACACATATTATATATAATTTTCTTCAGGAGAAACAGGACTTTTATTTCACATCAAATATGTATATATGGAACACAATTTAATGTGAATAAAAACAAAAGGAACATTAAGAAATGTTATATTCTAAGTTCTGCATGGCATTTTAAGTGTGAATGTCATAATACTGTTAGTTTTTACTGCAAAAAACACATATTTGTGTTCAGCAATGTCTCACAAGCACAACAGTATACCCCATGTCCAAGTGTTATGGTGTTTTCTAAAGTTAGAGGGTCAAATATAAGGCTTGTCCATTTCAGTTTTTAGCATTCATATTTGTTTATTGTCTTTTTCACTCAAAAACTGCCTTTCATCAATTATGTCATCAGCTTTATGAAAGTTACTGCTCTAAAACATTCCTATTTGTGTTCAGCAATGTCTCACAAGTACAACAGTATCCCCCTTGTCCAGGGTTTATGGGTTTTTGGAAAGTTACATGGTCAAATATAAAGCTTGCCCATTTCAGCTTTTACACATTGAAATTTGACAAGTTGATTATGTTGTCTTTGAGATGGTATGGCAGCCCAGTAATGAAAATCACCCACACCATGGCATACCCTTTGCAAAAGTAGACAACCAAGGGTGTTCAAAATGGGGTATGCCCAGTCTTTTGTAGTAGCCACTTACTCCCAAACCCTGGCCAAAATTAGCTTTAATATTTATTTGCTTTTTTCACATACACAATGCACTTTTATTGATTATATCATCATTGCTATGTGTTTTACTGTTTTACGGTTCATGAGAAGAATGAACACCACAAACCTCTCGTCTGACTTATTGATGTATGCAAGCTCTCTTAACAAATGATTCCCCATTAATCAATTAGATAAATCAATTAAAGAAAAAATAAGCACTTTAAGTAAAATATAAGGAAGCAAAATTGCTAATATTACAAGTACCTGAAATGTCAATTTTAACACAGAAGAGAAACACACCCTGCAATATCCATCTATATAATAATCGGTTAATTATATTTAAATTTGTCATAAGTAATACACTATAATATGTCCACTAGCAAGCAGGTCCACTGCCAATATGGACCTAACTTGGATGTTTCTTTTACTGGCAGAGGGCCAGTAGGACATAGTTGTGGTGGGTGGGGAACTGGCAACATGATGGTGGGATAGAGTCATACAGTAAAGACATAGGGCCCCTTGGATGTCTAAGAGGTCTGCTTTAGGTCTTGTGAGATGTAGAGGTACATGAAAAGCTATTGCTTGATGTGTGCAAGTAGCCTTGATTTGTATGATCTAATCAAGGATAACCTGGATCCACAGTCTCGGCTTATAAGGCAATACCAAGGATGATATGCATCTAAATGTTTAGAGTATAGAAAGCATGGCGTTGGCTTCTCTTTTCTCATTTCCATAAAATAAAATATTAACGTTCTACATGATCTGGAAATGAGAAGCAAGATAAGGGGTTGGCATAGTCTGCATTGTTGGACAGTACATATGGCACATTGACAGATGTTACCTGGAATTAATTAGGACTCTTAAACTGGTGGTGGCAGTTTGGATTTGGTGACTCACCTCCAGTATGTGAGTGTGAGTGGGCGAGGAACCAAAGTCTTTTTCATAAATTATGTTCATGCATCATAAGAAAACATTACCTTTTCAGTGCAGGCAACAGACTGATCCACATAGATTGTGTTTCTCCTTTCCCAGATGCTTAGCGGATCTACCTCTTCAAAGGTCTGCATCTCTAAACAAAAAAATAATATTTTACAGAAAAATCTTGCCCTCAATCTATTCGCAACCACCACCACTCCTGCTGCTCTTTAATTTATTGTTCACAATTCTCCTTCTGTATGAAATATCCACTAAGAACCTGTTGACTTGTTTACAACTTGTCAAGTGCCCACATCTGAAAAAAAGCTTTTCTATGTTGCTTCTCATAATCTTAGTTATAAACTGTATTTTGTGTTAAGCTACCTTTCTTTTCAGTGAATAATACCCTTTTAGATGGTAAGCTCAGGGGCATTTTTTGTAGAACTTATTAAAAAAAAAAAAAAGTGTTAGAAATGTAAAATTGAAGCCTACAAGGGTTCTCTACTTCTCTTTGTTACAGTATTTACATTCCAACATCCTTTGTCTTTAACCTGACCTTTGTGTAATTGCCATGCAAAGCACCTGTAAAGCTGAAGTAGAACACTCTGTACAAAATACCGATATATACATTCAGTGTACAATATAATCGTATTTACTTATCAGTAAAATCTCACATTGCTTTGGGGATTCTTTTTGCGATCAGTAAAACCAAACAAAAGGGGATATGTTGTGCTATTTTATAATATAAATACATAGACAGGTGCGGACTGAGCACTCGGGCAAATCGGTCATGGACCGAGGGCCTGAGGCTTTGGGGGGCCCGCCCCTGCTGCAGTGCAGTAATGGCTGAGCTCGGGAGTTAATCTCCCCAGCCAGCCTGCACTCAGTAAGGAGCCCGCACAGCCGCCCGCGGGCCCCTGCTGCTACTAATCATCTCCTCTGTGCAGGGCACACTGAGGAACAGCTAAGGGGCCTTCCCAAAGACCCCACTATGCTGCCCCGCAGTGTGCCTGTCTCAGAACACAGCCTCACTGAGCTGCCTGTAACACTGCTCAGGCCAGCTCCGTGCGGCTTGTTCTGCAGGAAGTGACATCACCAGTCACAGTGCAGAGTGAGCTGTGCGGAGCTGCACTGATCAGAGTTACAGACAGCATGTCAAGATCCTGTGCCTGGAGCTGTGATTTATTTTCCAGGAGAGCATGTCTGGAACACCAGAGAGGTAAGACTTGTAAGGGGGGGGGCTTTAATTTTTTTTAAATATATATATATTTTTTAATTACAAATATTTTAATGATATCATTTCCCCCACTACTGCCCCTACCCCCTGCACCCTCTGCCACCACAACCCCCCTGCTCCCTTTGCAGCCCCTGCCCCCCGGCTCCCTCTGAAGCCCCTACCCCCCCTGCTCCCTTGCAGCCCCTACCTCCCTGCTCCCTGTGAAGCCCCTGCTTCCTCTGCGGCCCTACCCCCTGGTTCCTCACTGCAGCCCCTACCCCTTCTGAAACTCCTTCCTTTACACTTACAACTCCTATCATGCCAAGGCACTTTACACTTACAACTCCTATCATCCCTACCCCCTACTCTCTCTGCAGCCCCTACTCACCTGTCCTTTCTGCAGCCCCTACCACACTGCACCTTCTGCTGCCCCTAACCCATGCTCCCTCTGCAGCCTCTGCACCCCACTCCCACAGCCCTTACCCCCTCACTTTGCAGCCCCTAACCCCACCTCCCTTTGCAGACCCTACTCCCACCTCCCTTTGCAGCCCCTACCCCCTCCCTTTGCAGCCCCTGCTCTCTCTGTATCTCCTGCTCCCTCTGTAACTCCTTCCTTTACACTTACAACTCCTATCATGCCAAGGC